CAAAAACGTATCGATTCGCTACAGGAGGCCTTTGTTCACCCCCCATGTGAGACACTTTATTTTTATGGATGGGCGCTTTTTAAAAAAAAAGTTCTTTCGGACTGATGCATGCAACACCCGCTGAGTGCTATTAAACAGCTTGAAAGATCACAGACAATTTTTAATATAACTCCGACTGGATACGTCTGAAAGAAAGTCATATACACCTAGGATGCCTCGGGGGTGAGTAAAATGCAGCCTAATTTTCATTTTTGGGTGAACTAACCCTTTAATATATTCTAAATAAGAATGATCAAATTACTGAAAAAAAAAGCTAATTCTAAATATTCATGTTCTAATAAGAAAAATCAAACAAAAATTAAAACTGAAAATCTAAAAATAAAAGCTAATTCAAAATGTTATTTATTATTATATAAACGCTAAATAGAGGTACAAAAAATAATTTTATTAAATAAAAATTACAAAAGCACAACAGAATCGAAATGAAAACCGGAAATCTAAAAATAAAACCTAATTTAAAATATTATTATAAATACCATAATGCACTGTAAAAATTAATTTTCAAAGTTGTAAATAAAACCATTATTGGAGGACATTTTATAAGAAAATACTAGTTTTTCTACTTGAAAACTTTGTTTGATTCAGTTTTACCTTGCCATTTCTTTGTATTTTTTGTGAAATTTACTAGCAATTTCTGAGTGAATTTTTTTCAGTGTAGTATATATATATATAACACTGAATTAACATCGTTAGTAATCAAGGGCACAATGGTTATGCTTCAAGTTTGAACCTACAACCTTTCAGCCTAGATCTTTAGCCAGTGTTTGTAAACGACTAAATACGACTTCAAATACAAATTCTATACAGTTTCACTCACCTGTCTCCAAACCGCAGTCGACACACTGCGCTGGTGTTCACACTCTTCCTAGAATAATCCACCGGCTCGTCTGAAAATACAAACACAAAAAAACGTTGCCTAAACTACAGTTCCAACAAATGTAAATGACACTGTAAGATTATGGAAAGTGTTCAGCTCAGCTCTCACCTGTAGAAGGTCTGTGAGGTGTGCTGGGGGCGGAGCTTATCCGCCTTTGATTGACAGGAGGTGCAGGAATGACCTGAAAGGAGGAGTGACGCGTCATCTTCTCCCGTCGTTCCCCGGTGGTGCTGATCTGAGCTGCTGAGACTCTCAAATCGTCTGAATCTAAAAGACATGCAACAAATAATCACAATATAATCACACTGAAGAGACTAAAATAAATTTTCAAGTGTTTAACCCTTTTAAAGGCACAATATGTACGTTTTCAATGATTTTTCAACAGATTCGCGTGTAATTGGTTATAATGCGCAACACTGTAAAAACCCATAAAAAATCATGGAGCAACATTAAGCAGATCTAAATTTAACGCTGCTGTCAACACATTTTTTATTTTATTCGCGACAGCCGTAATGGATTTAGTTGAACTGTACAGCAGCATTTGTGTTCGTGTGTTGCCAGTTTCTACAAGCTGAAACTGAGGAACATGCGCTTTTTGGCAATATAAAAGTGCAAGAAATTATTACGGTCATTTCTTGCACTCTGCCGGCAAATTTCCAGGAGAGCGGGAAGGAGTTTTGAATTACATAAAATAATAAAACAAACAAAAACATAGTGAAGGAGGAGTAAACAGCACAAAAATGATTGTGTGTATGGGTGCGTATGTATATGCATGCATGTGTATGAACAAAAAAGCCTCCTGAATGAAAACTGTGCAATCCAGTGCCACAAAAAGACTTGTATATATGTAATATAGTTGAATTTTCAAGTATGAAGTGTTGGATTCTTTCGATCATGATTTTTCTCTTTTTTTTCCTAAATAAAAATCCAAAAATGTATTCCTGTCTTTTGTTTTGTTTGTCTATTTAAATTCTGTTTA